CTGCATGTGAATCACAGGTGGAAAAGGTGATCGGTGGATTGGTTGAGGACCCTTTGTCCAGGGGTGGACACACACACATATATATATATATATCTTTTTTCTTTACTCGTCTCTTTTCCTCAGCGCTTCATGCTAGAAGTCGATTTTGACTGGCTGCTTCGTCCGGAAAAGAACCGGCAAAGCCATCTGGACGCCTTGCCGCGGACAGCTCTTTTTGAGTCGTGCTGACGCGCTGTAGCCCTGCTCGCCGCAGAGCGCATGGCCACCACAAAGTGTGCACGCCACCTTGTTGCCTTTCCTCCAGAGTTTGTGGGACAAGCGACCTTGCCATGCCAACGGAGGTTGCCATTCAGCACTCCAACAAGTTTTCCGAGCAAAAAATGGCCAGCTTGTCCATGGAACTATGCCGCAAGATCATCTGGCCACATCGTTTGCAAGCAACATAGTTTTTCTTAATCTCCAAGTCATGCCCTCCAAAATCAGGAAAACTTCCGTTCAGCAGTTGCTGTATCATGTCTGCCTTGCTGCCACCTTCTGCTTCTGACCCTCCTTTGGGAAGAGGTTTGCCAACCAGTGGACAGGCCTCTGTTCTGTATTGCAGGAGCTGTTCATACCTGCATGTTTGCCCTACAATGACACCCAGAACATTGCAGATGAGAGCTTGGGTATTCATTGGTGCCAGAGGGGATGGTTCTATGGGCTGAGGATTGCTGGTCATTTTGTTGCTTTGGCTGAAGATGTTCGCATTCATGTCATGTCGACTCAAGCCTTCGAGGCGTGTAGCAGAGCAGACAACGTCATGGGAGCACTTTTTGGGATTTGAGCTGCTTGGTGACAACAGAAGGCGGTCCAAGATTAGGCCGATCTATATTTCCCAAAAGCAACTGTGAGAAATTCCTCAGGGCGGATGGCCCCTTCGAAGTCGCATGAATGATGCATGCAAGGTTGCAAAGGAGAGAGCTTATGCCATGCAGCCTATGGAGCTGGAAGCTGAATTGAGACAGCAGGATGCCAAATACAGGGCAGTTGCAGTTGAAACAATTTCCAGAATCCAACATGTTCTGGTTAAGGCCATTTCACGAGGCAGGCGCGTGAGCCTGCGAAAGAGCAAAGAAAGTCTGCACGCCAGAGGAAGAAGGTAGCTACCGGGTAGCTTATGCGGCGTTGCTTGGACCTGAGGTTGCTGGAAGGTCTAGCGGGGCCAGCGCCCTCCGAACAAAAAACCACCGTACTGTCACAGGGGAAAAGGGGAAGGAAAGGGAGGGAGGAGCCAAAAGAAGGAAGGACAGCGTGGCGGGCACAACGGGGCAAGAAGCAGAAGACAGGTGTACTTGAGGGTAGAGGAGACCCGTCTTTGGACCAGGACTGAAGGCAACAGAAGTGGAGACCTCCCCACGCGGGTCAGACTGAGGAGGGGACCCCAACGAACAAGAACAAGGAGGAAGGGGTCGAAACCCCCAACCGTCCCCAAGTCCTGTCCGAAGGCGGTGGTGGCTGCCGCACTACAAACTTGAAAAGCGCCCCAAGATGACTCTGCGAGTGCACCCTCCGTAGAGGGCATGGCTTCGCCTCCCACTAACAACGATTTAGAAACTTAAACAAAAAGAAAGGGGAGTTGCCTGAGGACCAGCCTAGCGAGGCTTGCCACCGCGAGGTCCGGCAACTATTTCTTCTGAGCCAGCCAAATCAACCACAGCAGCCAAAAAACTAGAAGCGTCATCTTGCACACTGTCATCGAACTCATTCCACAAAGGCCGCAAAGAGGCCAGGTGGGTGATGTCTACCGCCTCTTCCTCAGCCAAAGCTGCCTGCGCAGCCCCGCTTGTGCGCTTCCAGAGTTTTGTGCTACTAATGAAAACACCTGCCCAACTCCAGAGTCTCAAGGGAGAGTTTGCGAAACATCTGTTCCGCGGGTTTCCCAACCTGCGTTGTAAATTCTGCGCAAAGTAGGCCAAGGCCTGCCGATCCCAAAACCGAAAAATATTTGTGCCAGTACCATCATCTTCTAGCAAATCCACGATCATGCCGCCCTTGATAGACACTAAGGAGATCCCTGGGGAATTCCAGGGCTGCCCAAAAACTTGTCCACCAGCCCAGTCACCACCATCCATTCCCTGTGCCCCATCACTGGCAGTAGCCGCTGGAGACTGTTCTGAGCCTAGAATAGGATGGAATCTTGCATCAACTTCATCTTGATGCCCAAGCACTTGCAAAAAGCCGATTGCCGCTGACCATCCCCCGAAACTTCATCAAATGAAGCTGACGCCTGCCATGGTGCCACTACCTGAGCAGTGTTGCCCACACTTTCTTTTTCTGGCTGCTGATTCGGCCAGCTGCTTTGAAAAGGCCTTCAACTGTTCCTCATTGCGGACCAGGCCTATGCTATGGAAAGTGCCATTCAGCTTCTCTTCGGTGAGTTCGCCTTCTTCGATTTCAATCTTCTTTTCCTTCTCCAGCACCAGGCTGGTCAAAAGCATGCGAAGGAAATCGAAGAGGATGAGCCTGAAGAGAGGCGAAGGGGTCGAGCACTGTTGCCCCAAAGTCACTATATGAACTGGCAGGCTTCAGGGTCAAATCCTTCTGAGAGTGGCACCATGCGGTACATGGGTTGGTGATATTTGTTGTTGGGCATCGCCTGCTTTGACTAAACTAAACCATTATTTCACCCCCACCCATGCGTTGGCCTCTCAGACACCCAAACATGCCCCCATGTTTTGACTGAAGCTGATCGGCTTGGACTGAGGACGCGAGCCTATCCGACTCTTTTAGCGTCCCTTTTGTTTCTTTTTCCCATCGGAAGAGTTGTCATCCAAAAGATTCGAGTAGAGACTTCTAGAAAAGGTAAATTCCGTATGTCCTGGCAAAGCACTGAGATTAATAACCCGATACCCGTTTTATCGCAAACCATGTTCTTCTGACTGTTCCAGGCTCCCAAGTCGCCCGTTCCTTGCTATACGCGCCCCGTCAGACAATGGTGGGCCGACCCTTCGCTTGCACTTGGAGTTGGAGCACGGCTTCAGCTCTTGGTCTCTATATATACGGGTCCTGTGCGCGAAATGAAAACACAAATGATTGGAAGAGCGTGGCAAAGCCACCGAGATTGATGACTGGCGTGATGAAAGAAAGGCTTCCAGTGCTTTCACACACGGCGTATAACATACATAACATATTGTCTCTCTCCACACAAAGGTCACCACACACACACACACCGTAACCTCCAAGTCGGTAAGGATGGAGGCTCCGAACCCTTGGCCTGACCATGTGATCCAGATGTTCGAATCTGTGCGTAACATGGCAGGGATGCGGTTGCAAAGGATGATAGCTGATTTTGTCATATTTTTTCTCACCTGCTCTGCTGAGCTTGAGGTCAGAGAGTCAATTCCACTTGCTTTGCGGCTTTTCGCAGATCCCAGACAAGCTGAAGGCCGGTTCGAAGTTAGGGCATCAAAATACATCCCTGGTCTGTTTCAAGCATTTCGAACCGAGGCCTGTCATGATCTTCTAGTGTGGTAGGATCGGAGGTGGCGCGAGGAAAATCCTATTCCACGCTTGGTATTGCAGGTATGATGCAAGTTGTAAGACTCGGTGTGCTGCTGCAGCTCTTTCTGTGCTTCTTCGATCTTGCCTTGAAGCTCTTCGAGTTCTGTCAACAAAGCCCCATACTGCTGCTTGACAACATCTGCCTTGGCCTGCAACGAACTCTTCTTGGTGGAGAGTTGCTTCAAGACCCCAACAGCGTTCGTGAACTTTGTGGCAGCTGTGGGCTCCGGCTTTGCCGGCTCGATGACCTTCTCCACTGCTTGATTCACCTCCGGAGGCAGGCTCTGCAGGTGCTCCTGCACAAGAGATGGAAGATCCGGCAACGGGGGCTCTTCAGAAGCCAGGCCAAGCAGCTGGCAACTCCTTCCAATGCTCTTGGAGCGCTTGGTGCAAGTGCACCGTGCAAGGCCGGAACTTTCTTGGTCTTAAGTTCTTCCTTTTCTGAACCTCACTAGCTCCACCAGTCAAACCAGGTGGTGGGTCAAGCAAGGTTTGCTTGAAGGACTTCTTTGGCCACTGAACACTTGTAAGGTGCCCACTGGACTGGCTTTGATTCCTTCTGCCACAGTTCTCCGCAATGGAGGCAGCGCAAACGAGGCCTTCCCACCAGTCTGTCTCCTGTTTGCAGGCTGAACAAACCAAATTCTGTCCTCGCATTGGCAAAGAAGCCTTCGTGCTCTACGATCTTGCCTTACTCAAACGGTATGAGGCTGCTCGATGTCAACGATCCACTTCCGGGCTTGAGCTGAAATGGCTTGGTATTTTTTTGTATATATACATATATATATATTATTTTTTAAAAAAATATATATACTGTGTATATTAATATATGTATGTATGTGTATATCTATGTATATATATATAGATAGATATTCATTTTCACCAAACAGTCTACTGTTGGGGTTCTATCTTAGACAAAAGAGCTGGCCACACTCACTGGCCGCGCCTCTGAACTCTGTGGCTGGGCTCTGTGGCCCGGCTCTGTGTCCGGGCCTTGTCCTCCTCTTGTCCTTGTCTTGGGCGCGCCTGAACTCTGTGGCTGCACCGTGCGTGGCCCGGCTCTGTGCCCGGCGCTCGTAAACACTCTCCACAATCACGCCGGAAGGGGATGTGCCCGCACACAATGTGCTCACATTCTCCATCACGAAGTGCACGAAGTTGCGCCTTTTGCTCGGCAGTTCTACGCGCCCACGAGTCCACCAGTTTCCATTTGAGTCCAGGGGCCCATGCTGCTAGCTGCTTTGAGCAATTGACCGCTTCTGCAAGGTCCTGAGGCCATGGTTCAGAGCTCCTGTCATCCTTCATGCCATGGACGGCCACAATCTCCACCACAAACATGTCGGCTTTCGAAGCTCATGGCCAAGTGCTCCTTGATCCACAGCAATCTTCCGAAGTTGAAGGTCTCTTTGCAAGACTGTCTCCAGCTCGGGCCAATTAGTGAAAGTAAGGTTCGATGTCGGGCTTGTAGGATGCCGGATCCTGTGGAGTTTCCAGCATGTGCTCCACATCTCCATCTCCAGCGCTCTCACAGACCTCCGCCAGAACCGGGTCCTCAACTAGAGTTGGGAGTCCATGTCCACCAGCACCTGTTCGTGAGGTTTCAACACGCCACATCTGCCCTCACCAACGCGATCACGAACTCTTCGGTCCGCCATCTTCCCGAAGCCTGAGAGCTGACACAGTCCTGCACGGTGGACCTGCAAGGAACGATTTCACATTTTCCGGACCTCGCCACTGCAGTCAGGTATGCGAACACGTTGTCGTCAAGGATGTCCTGGTGCTGAAGCATGTCCACTGACAGGATCACCCAGCCCTTTGGCAGTTTGTCCTCCCACCATGACGGATTTGCTCCTGCAAAAGATAGAGAACTGCTCGGCCGTCCTTCTCATCCGCCGATTCCATGGAAGTGCTGCGCTGCCAACTTTCTTGCGCATGGTGAGTTTGGCAATATGCTTCAACGGCGCCAGACGAACTTGTTCTTAAGGACTTTTGGATCTATCAGCCATTCATGTCCATGTTCCTCCTCCCCCGTTGCCAGTGCCTTCAACACACTCCGAACCTGGAGACTCTTTCCCTCCAAGCATGCCATCAACTTCTCCCCGTCCTCCAGTGAGATGTAGGGACAGTTGGCCACCACGTTGACATTCAGAATGCCCGCATGAGGATGCCTCAGGCGACGCTGCCCAGGTTTCCAATCAATGGTGCCACCTTGCCTCACCACTTCTCCAAGCGGGATAATGGGCGCCGCTTCATCCTTCGACAGGAGCGCTCCGCTTTCAGTCTGTTTGAGGACACACTCTCCTGTTGCAGTGTGCACTATGGTTTCATGAGCGCCCATCCATTCTTCTTCCGATCGAAGAGCCCTCAAGATGTGGGTTGCACCTGGGTCCAGCAGCACTCCCTCTGCCTCACGATTGACTTTCGCAATTGCTGCAGGTGTTTCAGATGAGGCTGCGCCAGCTGTTCCATCCGTCTTGTTGATCTGAGGTTTGCCTTTGCCTCCATTGCCCTTGGACTTGCCCTTCGGGTTCTCCTTGAGATTTTCTTTCTTGCCATCTCCTCTACCCTTGTCAGCTTTGTCCACCAAGGCCGGACAGACATTTTTTCGATGTTCCAGGCTCGAACACTCCCAACACCTCGATGTCTTGTCTTCCAACCCCTCCCAGGAATGGCCAAACTTGCACCGAGCGCCAGGTGAGCAGCCTGAAGATGTTGCCCAAAACTTGCATGGTTTTGCTCCCACTGCGGATGGCTGAGTCGACGGGGTTTGCAACTGTTTCACCTTCACATCACTGCCATCCTTTGCTCCTGTGCTCGAGGTCAACGAGATCGTTGCCATCTCCGCCTGCAACAGGAGTGATTCACGATGCTTTGAGTGGGCTTCCCGTCCAGCCCTTGCTGATGTCTCCATGTTTGGATGCGAAACGACACCTGCGCTTCCCTTTGACAACAGCATCCAGGTGCACTTGCAGGACTGGATCTGGAAGGGTGACGCCAAGCTCTCCTGCACGAGTGACATTCCTATGCCATGCGAGAAGTTTCTCTATGGCATCTGGAGCATTGGTGGCCGGCGCCGGTGACTGCAAACTCTTGAGTTCACCTGCCGTGAGTTTGCGATGGAATCGCAGCAAGGAGCATAGATGCCACCCGACTCTCCAGCCTTGAAGCGTTAGCGCCTCGATCTCGACAGTGAGCCTCGTCAGAGCATCTGACGCTAGCCAACGCTTGTACACCTGACCCACATGCTCCATCAGTTGATTCCACCACGAGCCAGCAAAGGAGCTCACATCATGGACCAGTGGAGTGATTTCCGCAATCCAGTCCCACACTTCCATGCCGCTTGATGAGAGCCTTCATCAGGTAGCCGCGGCAAAACGACTGACACGGTCCGCAAGTCATTCTTCTGGATTGGTTCCCCAGTGCTCGCTCCACACCCTGCATCAGGAGGACTTGGCGGCGGTGGAGGCATGGAAGCATTGTTCTCTTCGATGTCCTTCTTTATGGCATTGCCCCACAATCCATTGGCTTGCTGCTGCAGTGATGCACAACGCTTTTGATGTCGCAGTTCCTGGCCAGCTTGCCCTTCAGCTCCAGCAACTCTCGCTCAAGCCACTGAAGTCGCACCTGCTGGAAATTTCCACCCCCTGGTTCGTGACCTTCACCATGAGCTTGTTCCTTCTGGCTCACTTCAGAGATCACTCCCCAACTTGTTTGGTCACTCTTGGGTTGCGCGGGATCAGACTTCCCACCTCCCATGTGTCCTTCATGTAGGGCTCGATCATGAAAGGCAGATGGTGGAAGAGCTCCATAAGCAAAATGAACTGCTTCGTCAGGAACTGGATGAGATGAAGCGCGCACGATCGAAGACGCCAGTACCTGTGGAGCGAACACCAAATCCAAAGACACCAACTACGGTGATGTTCACACCCTTGGAACCCCCTGTCGAACCTTGTCGAAGCACACCCGGAGGAACTCAAGTGCCACCTGGTACACCTCCGAATGAACAGGGTGGAAAGATGCATGATCTTCCTGATCTACCTCCACGGCTGTGGGCTAAGCACGCGGGAAAACGACCTCACGCTGAAAGTGTGTGGGCACCTCCGCAACATGGACATCGTGAACTACAAGGTCAACATCGTGAAGTATTTGAACTACATGATCTCGTGGTGGGCTGATGCCTGACGGAGGGAAAAGCCTTCATCCAGGTGTATGTGGTGGCGGGGTGACCCGACATGACCATGCCCTACCGTGGGGTCTATTTCAGGGTGCTTGTGAAGACGGCTGGAGCCGACAAAGGCACGCTGCAAGCTCCCATCGCAATCTGGCACTTCACGACATCCCTCATCGCCTCTCGACCACGATGCCTTCGTCCATGGAGCTTGACATTTGCTCAATGGTGCAGGCGGTCTTGGTGTTCATCTTCAGTTGTCGGCCATCCAGGTTATACGGAGACGCCTTGTTGGACACTGTCTCTTGCAGCTTGCGTCCAATGATCACCCCGATCTCGGCTTGCCTCACCCTCGATGTCCTTCGGCTCGAGCGCACCATCTCCGTGCTCTTCTCGCCGTCGATCACGCTGTCAGCTTCCACGGTCTCCTCTTCTCCTGCATCGAGGTCCAAGAGGTCAAACAGTCCATGGCCAGCTGATTGGAGTTCTTCCGAAGATGCACCTCGGTCTGACTCATCCGGTACCATTGGCAGGTCCTTAGGTCGAGCATTTCGAAGCCGTGCTTCCTGCTGGAGCTCCTGGGGCCAAAAAGGGTTGATGTTGGCCATGGGGACCAACAACTCACACAAGTGAGGTGGACTTGCTACAGCCACAAGCCACCTGTGCAGATTGGGCTCATAACCTGCGTTAGCAGGAGCTGCGCGCCTATTTTCTGCTGCTAAAAAGGGTCTTCGGTGGACAGTGGTCATGTCCAAGTGTTTACAGTGATCATGTTGATCATGTGCTCATGTCAAAACAAGAGTGGTTTCCATAGGATGTCCCCATGATGCCGTTTTAAAAATGTTTGGGGTCTATGCTGGTATAACTTTTTGAATGTCTGTGTGGGTGCCCAAAAACCACATGTGCGACATTGTGCCCGTGTGGTGTTTTTTGGTGGAACGTCCCTCCCACCCTTCACCCACTGAACCTTCGCTGGGTCTAGACAGGTGGAACTCCGCTGGGAGACACAGAAGGGCGTCGTTCCCATCACAGCCACTTGTACCAAGGCGCGGGGCTCGGTGACCTCCCAGTGGTGACCGGCGGTCCGGGAGACGGGTAAGTCGCACGAGCGTGTTCAAAGGAGGTGGGAAGGGAAGAGGGCAACAAACCTGCCGGCTGGAGCAAGAGAGGCCGAAACATCATGGGTGTTGAGCCTTTCGCACCAAATCGCTCATGTTCCCAAGCCAGCCATGCCATCCAGTTCGGAGGTCTTTGGAGATCCATCTCCCCCACCAGGGTCCGGCAAGCCGGGTCCGTTGCCCGGTCCGACGACGGTCGTCGTCGTGCGTGACGGGTGGCGGTGGCCGCGAGGCGCACGTGCTGGGTGACCTGGACATCTTCAACTTCACCCTATCGGCCCAGGTCACGGCGGTCGTTGGGGGGGGTCACAGTCACGGTCATCCAAAGAGGTCGGTGAAGAAGCATCACATCACTGGTGAAGTGAGCGGAAAAGGAGGTCGCAGCAGGCTTTTTGGCCTAAGAATGAAGGGGGATCAGTGAACTGAAAATGCACACGCCACTGGTATGTTTGGTGCCATGTTCTATCTATCTTTTTTGTGGCACCCCTTGTGGTTGATGACTTTTTGGTGCCCACCTTGCCCTGGGGTTTGTCGACGTCCCCCATATGTAGACAGAACGATGAAAGTTGGTCCGATGCGTTTTGGCCGCTTTTTTGGTGTGGGTTTTTGATGCTCCACATGATGAGGACATGGAATACTTGGACAGATTGATGCCCACGGAGATGGAGGAGTATGCGTGAGACATGAGCAGAGGAGCAGAGCTGAAGCACCGTGAGAATGCGATGTTGAGACAGCTAAACCAGCTAAGCTCACTCGCGAGACCGCTGGAGGACAGGCGTCACAGACCGTTACAGCGAAAAGACTTCTGGGGGTTGGAGGATTGGAGAATCATCTGAGAGGCTCTGGTTTCAGGATGTTTCAGGTGAGAACTTTCAGTCTCACCACCAGACCTGACACAGACCAACCAGATCCAGAGCATTGCCACAAGAGAGGTGGGTTGGTTGTGTGAAGTTGTGGTGTTTTAGACGTTTGGACAGATATGACTTGCCGACAAACGAAAACATCCAGACTTGTTGGACTTGCCTGGTCTAGTGGCCTCCACTGATCGGGAGTGCACCCGTTTCTGCGCACGTTCAGGTGGTGGCCGGGTACGTGGAAGTCTGTCCTGGAGAAGGGCCGCGCTACGGAGAGGGCAATTGAAGGGCCTCGGATCCGGCAACAGACACAAGTGGGAGTGACCCGAGCACCAAACAGAAATGGGGGGCTACAGCAGTTAGTCAACACACTAGATACTGGTAGAAATGGTAGAATCTTGAATCCCCTTACTCTTAGTGTCTGAGTGTATAACTTAATAGCCTTAGTCTTAGTCTTTGATATCCAATCAGCATCACTGAATCAGAATCCCCTTAGTGTATATATAGTCTTAGTCTTAGTGATTGGATATCATTGCACCAATCATTTCTATTAGGTCAGGTCTATGAAAGAACATGTGATCGACGAGAGCCTTCCGACAATCGACGTGCAGACCTCGGGCCTGTTGGCTTTGACCAGCCCTGGTTCCAGCCCTATTGTCTTCATGTCTTTGGCTACTGGGGGGGTGGCAGAACCAGCCACACCCAAGCAGATCAGTCTACCCACTTGGCGTCGCGATGCAAAAGAGATTCTTTGAGGGAAAGACATGGAAAGACACAGCGGCGCAGAGTGGCAGAGGCTCCCGCCCGTGCCAGGAGACCGTAAATGCAACCACGACAGCACTCATCGAGCTGGGACACCGAGGAGGTGATATGTGACGATGCAGCAGGCTAAAGGATGCTAAAGGGAGGACCAATTTGTCAGCAACCCATGAGAAACAACATAAAAGGTACAATCTAACTTTATTTTAATAATGTCATGCCACAACATTGTTGTGATCCCAACTGCCTGTTGCTGCTTGCATTAACAGATGGTCCTGAGTCCTCCATATGTCTCTCTTGCTGGGAGGATCGGTGTCTCCAAACTGCGCCTGACCCAACTGGCTTGTTGACTGCCGATCTCGAGCCCTAAGGTTTGTGCCAAGCTGCTGGACGCGTCAGGGAAGCCGTTGATTTGGGGCCGGGGGGGCCCAGAGGCCAAGAGTGTTAAATGGGCGACGTCCCGGAAGGTTTGCGCCGGAGTGATTCTGAGGCAGAGTTGGGGTGCCTTATGAAAAGAAGTGAGATGTCAAACATAGGGTGGAATCGTTTCGACCGGTGTCCATGTGCCAACTTGCTGCCTCGAGCGAGAGCTGTGTCGCTGATTCAGGTGATTTTTTGGGGTTCAAGACAAGACATCAAATGTCCTTCCCCGCAAGGAAGCCCCACAATGGTTTGGAAGATGGTCTCCCAGCTTGACCCTTTAACCATCTTAAATTATAACTATTGTTGTATTCAAGAAGGCCTGTGGGGCGACGCCTCCTTCGTTTCTGAGTGCAAAGCTCATGCTTTCCCAACACATTTTTTGACACATCATTGTGAACGTCAACCCGAGTTCCAGGCTGGGTGTCCACGCAGGTCGACACCTCGTCGGCATGTGTCGACGCATCTCAACACAGTTCTTTCGATAAATAATCAATGAATCATGTATAAGTCTTAGATTGACAAATGACGGACATGTCTTTGACACGCATGTGCTGCGCAACAACTAAGATTGTTCAAAAGAAGGTCGACACAAGTCGACACGCATTATGTTTGAACAAGATATGAGTTTTGGAGATAAGCTGACATGACACAACGACAGATTTTGTGAACACAGTTCTGGGCCCTTTTGTAGAGCTGATCAAGCCACCGGATTTTTGAACCCAACAAACTTGACACTTCAACCGTACCTTGTCCCCATTCTTGAGGGGGCTTGACAAAGCTGGGCCCTTCTGCTCGCTTGCAGGTGAAGGAGACTTCTGGGAGATCACCAGTCAGAAACGCTTTCAGTGGGATGGTCGGACCGTGACCTGTTTGAGCCAGAAATGAGTGGGACAGGGCCCGCGCCAGCATCCATGCAGCAGCGTCAGAGCCAAGTCGCTCGTGGAATGCCCCAGCTGATTCTCGTCCAGTCTGTCCATGTCTGTCCTCTCAAGCATGAGCATAGCCCTGGGAGTCCAAGACGATTCATACAAACCATACTAAAAACATCCTGTAGGTGACCCGACAAGGAATTTATGTTACTTCGGTGGGGCAACAAACACATATATAGTTATATAAACAGTCTTCGGACTTGACGGGGTAAGTCCAAGGCTGTGCCAAGTCCGTGACACATGGTGTCACACGGTTCACTTTTTATGGCTGAACTTGGAACCTCTGGTGTGCCTGGTCACTGAGTCATGGATGACTATGGATGACTTAAAGAGATTCTTGTTTTGTGTGCTTTTGGGGGATGACTTGGAGACTTTGACCATCTTTGACACCTGCAGCTGCCCCATGTCCGATGCTCATTGCCTGGCGCCCGCCCGCTGGCGGCGCTGATTCGGGCGCGCCCGGTGCGCAGCCCGAATCGCCGCGGGTGCTGCGGCCAGTGGTCCACGGCCAAGTGTTCTGGCTCTCTGGGACTATTGCCTCATGGCAGAATGGTGATTGTTAAGCTTTTGATTGCTTTTGGGTGGGTGGGTTTTGTGAACACATGCGTGCTGGGAGCTTTTTGGTTACTAGGAACTTCATGATCTGATCTTGCTGCCAGCATCCCAGATGCCTAGGTTTTTGCAAGGACACCACAGGCAGTGGCTTCAAGTGTTGTCTACTTCCCATTTATTGACCGACCCTTTGACGAGGTGACACACCGTCTTGGCGCTTCGGTGGGCGGTTTGGTGTGTTTCTAAACTGGTGTTCTCCACCAGGGAGTGGACGGATGACGGTAGGTTCTTGAAACATTCTCCATGCGATGTGGATCCGTTTTGGGTGGGTTTTGGCACCTGAGCGGATCCGGAGGGTCTTCCGGAGGGTCATGCTCAGGCCTTCTTCGGGTGCACCGTGCCCACCGCACGGTGCGTGCGGCGCACACGGCGCACCGGACCGCGGGGCTCGCAGAGGCCGCGCGGCGTCTGGATGAGGTTGACAAGTTCCACCACAGCATAATCAGCACTACAACAAGAGGCTATAACACGTATTTAATTAGTAGCAGTCCGGTAGAGGACCATTTTGGAATCCTGTTTGCTTTGTGCTTTATCAGGCGGGGGTTGTTGTTAAGCATTGTTGGGAACTGGGGGAGGATGTGCTTGATGTGGTGTGACGTCCATCTTAGGCCAACGGCTGACATCCCCTGCATTGATTTGGATGGCCTGACTTGGCTGCCCAAAGGCCTCGATCGTTTCAGTTGATCGAGCTTGACATGTCTTCTCTTGACAGACACCTTCGGTATTGTGATTGGCAAATTGTTTGAAAGGCATGCCAGGCAGCATGAAAAGTCAGATTCTGTATATATATATATATATACGTTACCTCTTTTTTTTTGGGGGGGGGTGTTCATGTAGCCATCGACATTCCTCTATTCTTTGCGACCCAGTCTTCTGCTTGATGCACAGCCGCGGCTCAAGAAGACAGACAAAGCATCCGCTCTTGAAGCCGTCTCAGTTCATGGACCCATCGGCTTGAAGACCAAAAACGTCTGAGGGCTCCAGGCTCCAACATCGGTTTCTTTGGAACACAGTCGAGGTGAAGGTCTGCACCGCCGATTCAGGCTTGTGGAGGCCATCGCTATTAGGTTGGAGACCATGGCTCTTAATTAGGGTGGAGACCATGGCTTTTTTTGAAAGAAAGACCTATAGTGCTGTGCACTATGATAGAAGATTATACTTTTTTTTTGTAAATAGAAGATCTCATTTTTCCTATAAACCGGAAGGTTTCAAATAGAAGGGCATTTCCGGGCGTATGCAAATAGAAGGTCATAAAAAAGACAGCTTAGTTTTTGGTCGTTGTGAATAAGAGTACTGTTTGTGCTTTGAATCTCTACTTGTCCTTACATATCTTCGTTCTATGTGCATTTGTTTCGAAGTGTGTGCTGTCATTCTTTTTGTAGAAACCTCATGTTCTTCCGCAGGTTAAACAAAAATCATCCGTCGCGGCCAAGCAAGGGGGTCTTTGGTGTTTTCCCTTTCCTGGTTTGTCACTGTCAATTCCGTCCTTTTAATTCCTCTTGATTTTTTCTGATGTCCTTTTGATTCCTTTTTAAATTCCTGTTAAATTCCTTTCTATTCCTTTTGAATTCTTTTTGGTTCCTTTTTGATTCCCTTTTGATTTCCTTTTGATTTCCTGTTGATTCCTTTGGATCCCTTTTGATTTCCTCGTCAATGTCCTGTTGATTTCCTTTTGATCCCTTTTGATTTTCTTTTGACTTCCTTTTGATTTGCTTTTGATTCTTTTGGATTTCCCTTTGATTCCTTTTGGTTTCCTCTTGGCCCTCAGTCGCTGAGCTTACCACGTGATGCACCTTTTTTCATTTCATCCCCGTCGGCTCCAGATAGAATATATTGCAGGACCCCTGCAAATAAACTGTGCATCAAAATATTCAATAATATATATATATATATCTTCCAGTTACCCCTGGCCGGTGCAAATAGAATATAGACCTAGGTACATTTCTTCTATAATAGCGCACGGCACTATAAGCCTTTGCCCTTGTAGACGTGTGCCCGGTTGTGCCCGCCATGGATTAGCCTGGCAGCCATGGAGGGATTCGTGACTCCTGCCAACAACAAGGGGGTCACAGTGCGATGGAAGGTTTGCTTTCCCAAAAAGCCTAACCCTTAGTTGCTCGGGCACAGGAGCCTAAAAAGCAAGAACGCATCCCGAGCAACAAAGCCAATGTATCGGGGGCCATGCGAAGGCCTTCACTTGACACATCCGCAGCCATGAATGGCAGTGTGAAGCAACTAAGGTCCGACCTGATCATCAGCGTCCGGAGCTTCGAGAAGTTCTTGGCAGAAGCTTTGCTGGACTTCGTCAGGGAAAACAAGAGCCTCGAGAAGGAGAGCCTCAAGAAACGGTGCAAGCAGAGACTTGGTACCCTCGATGATGTGTTGATGTTGGGCTTTGGGCTTTCTTGCTGGGCGACTTCAACTTCCCTCCCCCCAACACGAACCCGAACCCGAACCAGTACTAATCCGACCCGTGTCCTCCACCGAGGAAGCTGCAGGAGCTGCGCGGAGCCGCTCCGGAGGACGCTGCCAGCGATCCGGACAGCCCGGTGCTCGTCGAGACGCCGCCCGCGGGCGCGTCCGACCGCGGTTCCAGCGGTGGGACCGGCAAGCGGGTTCGGTGCGGGGGTCCGGGGCCACCGGGACCGGACGGAGACTTGGGCCGCGAAGAGGCGGCCAAGGTGATGAAGAAACTCTCCACGCTGGAGTGCTTCATTTGCTTCAGCCCCTTCAGTGACGGACAGGAGAATGGGGACAAGGGACAGGGATTTCAGTCTGCGGTGAACTCGTATGTCAGTCCGGCCTTGGGAGTATTTGTCCAACAAACCGAACCTGGGCCGGTCATTATTTTTATGCCGTCAGGGTTTGTCCTGAATCCTGATTTGGACACCACAACCACAGAAGGTTTAGAATTATCTCACCTGTCCAGGCCTGATTTGGTTCACCAACCCAGCGGCCCTCTCCTTAGCTGCTAGGTCGTCACAGCTTCCTGCAGCAATCTGGTCATTCATGGTCGAACTCGGAGAGCCTCCCATCCAACTAGTGCGGCTGCCGTGGTCGGAAATCCAACCAGTGCGGCTGCTGTGGTTGGAAACTCACATCTGGGAGATCCCATTTAATTTGTAAGCTTTGCCTGGTCTTTTCACAAAGCCCCGTCTTCAATATCTTCAAATATATAGTGGTCTCCCGTCTTCAGACACTGAAGGAACCGGCTTTTTGCTTTTGCGAAATGCGACACCGTGTGACCCGCAAAGCGACAGAAGCGACACACATCACCTGCCATGTTGAAAAGCGGCACACACCAATGCGCCGCTACTCGAATTGCATCTAAATGTCCGTCAGGAAAGTTGTGCCTTTCTTCAACACCAAAAGGCAGCAGTTCTTTTACAACACTTTGAACGTGTTTTCGGCCACATGGCCCACGAACCCACGAAACCAGACCCGCTCCAGTTTCCCCAGGAGCCCATGCTCAGCGGAGAATGTGGTCACACCATTGGCTGCCGCACCTGTGCGCAGGCCCTTTTTCGGGGGCGCTCTGCTGCAGAGTGTCCCATCTGCCGAAGGCCCTTCAGGCAGCAGCAGATCGTGAAGAACTTCAGCCTTCTGGAGACCGTGGCCGGGTCCTGCTTAGGATGCTGAAGGTCATTTCCCACGGTTGTATTGCAATTTTTGGGGCTGTTTTCGGATTTGGCCGCAGGTGTTTCTGGGCACCGAACTTGTCACCAGGAAAGACCTGTTGGAGGATCCAGGCATAAACAGATATATATATATATAGACATAAACGATCTCTTTTCCTCCCTTGCTCTCTCCCTCCCATTCTATAAGTCTATATATTTTTTGGGTGAGCCCCTTCCGCAATGCTTTTTTCTCCAGATTTCTTCAGCAAATCCAAGGTCCGGGATCTCCAAAAGCACAGCGGCGCAGTCGTGCAGTCCAAGCCACCAGAGGAAGAGCCGAAGCCAAAGCTACCAGCGAAGCTGAGTGACATAGTGTGTGATAGGGAGGAGTTCCTTCAAAGATCCCAGAGACTTCCAATCGCCGGAGTTGCTTCAACTCCAGCTCCTGCTCCAGCTCCAGCACCAGTGCCAGTCAGGCCAGTGATCACTCGGCCTGTCCGCCCGCTCGGGCAGATGGCCCTTGGTCCACCGGTCAGCCATGAGGAGGTAGTGCATTTAGAGGTGCCACATGACGTTCGCATCCTGCAACGAATGGAGGACAAACGCCGGGAGCTTCAAAGAAGCTTGGCAGTGCCGTGCTGTGCCGAACAGGCATCATCAGGCCATTTTGTGAACACTTCGGTCAAGGGAATTAGAATAATTGGACCAAAACCCAACTGGGCCTCGGGGGTTCCCTGTTGAAATGCACATCCGAATTTATACACCCGAATGTCTTTGATGTCCATGAAGCAAGCAATTTCCAAGGATGCTTCGGGGTGAAAATCTTCGACCCGGACGCACGGGATGATGTTCGGATTGTGGGCAGCAGCTTCTCTGCTCGTGTTGAGGCTGGGAGGCAGCTAACAGAGTGCTTGAAGAATGCGCTGGCACAAAGGACCTCCTCCAGCCGTCCACTCCGTTCAATTCTCCGGCCCAGCTCATCCAATTTCAATCCGGCACCCCACACCCCACCGGCGGCCTTCCGTGCACCCCGCACCCCACCGGTGGCCTTCCCTGCACCGTGCACCCCTGCGGCGGCTTTCCCTGCTGGCCCCCCAACGTCAGCTTCCAATGCTTCAGCCCCCCTGCACACCACGATGAGGCTGGCCTTGCTTCCATCTGTCCCAGCTTCTGCGACAGTGTGGGAGAGGTTTTTTCTCAAATGCCGTGATGTTGAGAGAAGCCTGGCTTCGCTAAGGTGATTTGTGTGTTTCCTGTGCTCCCTGTGCCAGACCCTGCAGAACATACGCGTCTGGTTGGCATCCGGTCCTAAACAATATGTTTCCAATGTTGGCACCGATCATACGGTAACGATGGCCTCCAACCTAAGAGCGTCACGGCCTCCCACTAAGAGCGTCACGGCCTCCCACCTACTATGTGAATCCAATGGCGAGAATGAACAGTTGTTTTGGAAATTCCTGTCCTGGTTCAACCTGGTTCCTGGCTCGTCCAAGGAACTCTGCGGGTGACCATCCAGAAGCCTGACGCAGAGAACAATCTCAAAGTGATTGGTGGCAACGCGCACTCCAGAGACGAAGCTGTGAAAAGACTGATGCTCGGCCAGGCAAAAAATCAATTCTATTCAATTCCGTGTTCAACTCTGTTGATGGCCTTGAATGCTTTTGAACGATGTTTGGCAGCCGGGTGAAAAGGGTGACCATTTCTTTTTCGATGTGGCTAAGGACCAATTCGTTCAATGGGCTGATTGAGCATCACTTGAATGGGCAGAGACTCTGAGATAGCAATCATTGCTACCCCAACTTGGAGCAAGGCTGCCCTAATCTGCCCAAGCTCGAGGACAAAAAGACACTGCTGCGCGGCCTGGCATGCTTCGCTTTCCCCCACAGGACATTTGCGTCCCATGTGCCTTCTCGGGAGTTGACACACTCCAGGTGAGGATCCCCCGAAGAAGAAGGTGCAGGAGGTGCAGGAGGCCTTGGCCACCCATGGCCTCTTCACCGCTCGAGGCGCGGATATTCGACCACCGTCACCGGTCACCGCGCGGATCCGTCGGTCTTGGATGGTTTAACAGCCCGGGCTGGTTGGTCATGGGGTTGGTTCTTCTATAGGATCCCCGCAAGGGGTGTGAAAGAAACAGTGACAGCTTTGTACTTGGCAAGGTCATTGAAGTTGCAGGTCCGGGAGACAGTTGCGTTAGAGGGTGTTTCAGGCTATCTCAGGCTATACCTTCAACATCCTTTACAGTGCCTTTAACCCATTGTTACCAAAACGGCACGCATAGAATCATGTTGAAATACCTTGAAGCGCCACGAGGACATGCGAAGACGTAAATAAAGAAGACATACGAAGTCCGACCAAACCTTGAGCTCCAGGAGGTGTAGATTCTTTTCTGTGCTGTAGAGGCCATGGCAACTCGCCTAGCAGCTTTTTTGGGGTGGCGGGTTGTGGGGGGAGCACGGTAGAATGGAATGGCATCCTGCGTCTAGGTCATGGCATCTCGATGGAGGTGCTGCAGAACGCCAGGGAGGAATCCTCGCACTTTTTCGACCTGCCGCTGCGAGCAAAGAAGCAGTGCGCGGAGCCTTGTCTGGAGTGGGGGGGGGCTTGTAGGAGCCTTGTTCATCCGTTCGGACCTGGCAAGAGAGGTTGAACAGCCCTATAGCGCATCCCATATGTACCACTACATGGTCCTAGTTCTGGTCTCTCAACCTCTCTTGGTGGCCTCCAGGTGCAAAAGCGTTGAACTCCGCGTGGGCTTCCGGTGTGTTTTTCGTTCGCTTCGTTCCGTGGCTCCGGACCCAGTGGCTCCCAACGGTCCAAGGTCTACGGCATGGAACGAAACCGCTCCTTGTCACGGAAGGGAAGGGACTGGAACCATCTGAAGGAAGTCAGGACTTTTGGATTCAGCTGGCAACACGAACCGCCTCCGCAGTCTGGCTGCCTTCCCTGTGAAACATACAGTGGTGATACCAATGAAGCAGCATTCATTTCTTTGTTTTCTTGCTTGGGATTGGTGCCGGTCCTACTTTCGATGACATGTGATTGGGGCTGTGGGTGGTTCCGCTATGCTTCGGCTCACGTCTTGAGAGGATGCGTTGTCAATGATCAGTAGTGATCATCAACGGTAGGTCGTCAAGTCGTCAAGATGTTGATTCCAACATTGCCCTGCTTACTGCGTAATAATTAGGTCGCCACCCGAAAAATAGGTCAGAGGCCTGTGAAAGAGGGAACTGGAAGGCTGTAGTATAGGGGGGTGAGTAGGTGGCTGAATGAAAACATCATCTCCAAAACGCCCCACCATCAAAATTGGTGGAGCTGGGTGGAGATCAGTTGGCCGTTCAGAATTTTGGCCCACGGAGTTCTGGAATCAAATACGCCTTCCTTCGTGTGTGGCGTTTCCCCGGGCTGTTGGGGGGGGGTGGGCGTACCGACCAGAGGTGGCTATGAGATCTATCCACACCACCAGCGCTTCTTGGACCTTTGGACCCAGCACTCTTGCCTCCAGAGCTCCGCCCACCCAGAGCTTTCGGCGGTGGAAGGCGAAGCGAACGCTGCTTCCGGGGACCGCGTCACCGCGTCACGCGTGACGCGGTGCGCGTTGGGGAGAGGGGAGGCCGGCGAGGCGGAGGTCCGTGGGGTGGGTGACTGAAAATTGACTTGCTCAAAAAGGCGAGGAAAACAAGAATATAAACCAAATAAGCTGGAAGTAGACACGCGCAGGCTTTGCGACCATGGAGAACAGACACACAAATGGCCTGGATGACATGTCCCAGGACCCCCCCCCTGAAGCCATTGGCTTCCAAAAGGTTGCGAAACGCAGCGCGGTCCGTCTAAAACGACGCGGCGTTTCATTCCTCGCCGCCTATCGCTTCGAGGCATTGTGTGCGAGCGCTTCTGCTGTGGGCCACCGGTGGTTTGTGAGCCCAAGCAGTCGCCGTTGAGCTCGGATTTTTATGCATCCGAGCTGGGCCGCGCGGCGGTTGAACAAGGGAAGAAGATGGAAGATGCAGCAGGTGAGGATGGGGATGTTCCATGGAGGATTGTGGGGGGGAGAGTTCCAGTTTAGATGACACATGATGAAACCATGTCCAACCTTCTGCCAAGCTCTTCCAGGTGGCCTACTTGAGAGTAGAGGCAACAATCGGATGGTCCGGAAGCGCCGGCGTGTTGTCCACCCCACGCATCTCCTCGACCAAAAGATCGAAACAAAAAACAAGTCATTTGGACCTGCTGGGCATCACTTAGACCGTTGCCATGCTTTTTCTTTGCTGCCTTGAAGACCTGCAGCTGAGGACAGGTCTTCTTTCCGGCTAACATTTGGCCGCGCGACGCGTGCGCACGCGGCCTGCGGCCCGCTTTGCTGAAAGCCTTCAACGCACTGGAAGGCTTCTCCGAAGCAGTCCTCATGCCACTTGGCGAGGTTACGGCCTCACGTGAGGGCAACAGCCCACTGGTGGACAATCGATGAGATCTTAAGACCTGAAGAAGCATCCAATCCAATCAGAGAGGGTGGAACTTGAAGGATTACCAAGGTGGGTAGAGCAACCCCAAACAAGCATGCAGCATGAACCTATCATGAACCTCAAAACCTCAGATTCGCGGACAGGCTGTTGGCGGCGGCGGTGGGCATGCGCCCACAGCTGTTCCAACACTTGATGTTTGATTCTGGACAGCCTCGACATGCCAGCATGCTGCAGGCCACTGGTTGGCGGTTTTCAAGCTTTATTTCACAATCAATCAAGATTGGAGAATTGTTATTTGGATTTTTTTGGGTTTATTTGATATTGTTTCCTTTTTTTGGACCAGAGCACCTAGGCAACTTCATTTTGACCGTTTGATCTGCAATCATTGAAGCCCATCCAGTTTGCTGAACTTAGCGCAGCTATGAAAACACCTTTTACATCCTTTTGCTGTCACAGAGGCCTTGCAGGTGCCAGGTGACAACACGCCCATTGCAGGTTTGCAACTATCCATCTCTTTTGCCGCGTTCGATGAGACCCTCTCAGCTGCCTCCCGGTGGGAAGCAGTGCTGCTCCAAATCCAGAAAGGCGGTGACCACACTTCGACAATTGTATTCAGTTAGCTCAATTTCTCCGATGGGAAGGAAGGTGAAGAACCGCAAGGCGAAAAAGTCCGGTAACTTGAATTGTTGAAAAAATGTTTCACTCGCGCGGCTGGCTGCAGTTCATAAGCGGCTGAGACCTGTTGTGGGGTGGAATACATGAAGAACCATGAAACAACACGCGGAAGAGTGGGGTAAACAGCTTGTGCAAAAGTTGTGTGGCAGGTACACACCAAAGCGTCCTTTGGTGCTTCCCCTGTCACATCCTAGCTTCGTTGGGCCAGGTTGGATGTGACAGGCCTGGCCCCCCTGCCTGTGAAAGGTGGTGGTGGAAAACCCTTTGTCCAGGGGTGGACACACACACACACACACTTGAGAAGGTTGCTCCGTGGAGCGCGATTTCAGGCTGCTTC